CAGAACTATTCTCTAGTTCGTCTCGGTAAAGTCATAGCAAAGCAAAGTAGGTGTGAAGCTTTAATTTTCCTCTGGAGCTGCAAGTGGTCTTTTTTTACACAGCGTGTAGTGGCATGGAGCCAATGGTTCCTCTGAATGCTGGGGTATAACTGGGCATCACTCACGCCTAGTCTGCAGCTTGCTGCCACCAGATAATGAGAGGATGAGCTGGATTTCTTTACAGTCACTGTATATTCCTGGCTAAGTTAATGAATTTTTGTCAGAATTTAGAGAAAAGGGATGCGTATTAGGCTCCACAAAAGAGGAAATGAGAGGGATTGACTGTTCTGGCCAGGCCGCTTTTTCATTATGCAAAAATAATTCTAAATACAAGCAACAGCACTTGGCCATAAAGTCTTACGTGCTGAAGTGTTTATTCTCTACCTACTTCACTCAGTAAAATCCCTTAGGTGCCCTTTTAAAACAATCCTATTTCTCTCTCCTTTGAACAGCTTTTTGGCTGGATGGCAGAGATTTTGAAATGACATATTTGCAGAAAAAAATGAAGGGATCACTCAAGATTTACAAAGCTTCACTCTTAACTGTAGAATAGGAGTAAAAGTACTGAATGATTTGTAATTGGTTATTCATCAGCAGTTTCATATTGATTTAGAGAGCAATTACAAGGAGATATTTTAGCCATTTACCTTGGCTGGTGGTTTGAATAACAAATCATTCATTTAACATGCAAATGCCAGGCTTTTTCTATGCATTGTCTCGATACAGTTTCCTGCTCCTCGGCTGCCAGTCATTCACATCACAGGTTGTCATAGACACAGCAGCATCACCAGATCGGGCACGGGGTGGCCCATCACCATTTTGCTGCTTCATGCCCTGGCTCGGAGTTGCCACGTGATCATCGGTCCCATCTGTGCTGATGCTACACAATAACCCGCGCGTTCCCTGTCACACGTCCCAAGGCTGAGAGATCGTTTGCTGTGACCTTTTCATTGTGCAACACAATGACAGCGATTTATGGAGTTTCATCTGTCTCTCCTCTCCACTTTCGCTGTGAGCAGGGCTTTTAGGAGCATTTTGAATCTTGATTTTATACATATATGCATATATGTTTGTACATTTGTGGTTTTGTGTGTGAGAGGTTGTTTTTTTTTTTAATTGAGGGTGTCATAATAATTATTCACTTGGTCATTCTATTTTTGTCTGCAACTGCTTCTTGTATTATTAAAAAAAAAAAAAGTTCTGCTAAAGTTTTAATTGAAATTGAATAATAATTGAGTGTTGATAACTGTTATCTTTATTAAATCTTTTTAGAACTATAAGGCGAAGATCTTTGAAAAGAGAATGCAAAATTGCTTTATAGAGTTTTATAGCATATAAGGTAATGTCTTTTTTTTCCCCTTTGGCCACTCTAGAAGCTCAGTTTGGGCTTTGGAGTACAAATCCAGAACAAGTGTAGCAAAAAAAAAAAACAAGAAAAGAGAAGGAGAGGAAAGAAAGCTCCTGAACTGACTACATCCATTTTAATGCCTTGTATCTCATTATTTTTTTAAGTGGACATTATAATAAAAATTACTAAACCAATCACAAAATGCATTCATTTGTTTAAAACCAAGATACCTGTTGTACAGTGACATTATGTCATTGCTTCATGTGCAGAATCCAGTGGATTCTAAACTAGCAACATAGCTTTTTTAAACAAAAATACTATTGCTGCTATTAATTACTGATCCCATCTGTGCTTACAAAGCTACAGAATGGAGATGTAGTTAATGACTTTGGGAGAAAGCTGTTGAATAACCCTTTCTCCTTCGAGCAGCCCGTCTTCCAGGAGCCCCCTTGTCTTATTTGCTCCTCACTTCAGCAGTAAGGGAGAAAGGGCCAAGAACGGGCCAGAGCCAAGCTGATGTAACACTGTGTTACATCTGATGGGAGAAAAATGCTTCTGCTGTGATGACTTCCTTGGAATCAGGAAACGCCAGCAGTGCCTGAAAACTGTGGGTACCCAACAGCCAAAATTTTGGTGGCCAATGAAAATACACACAGCAAGAGGCCTGTAGGAAGGGCTCAGATTACATCCCCTCAAATTTTTTCTAATTGTGAATTAATTGAAATGGGAGTGAAGGGAGCAAATGACAATGACAGTCAGATTCTCCTGGGAGCCCGGTGTTAGAAGCAGCTGGGTTTCCATATTCGCTGTCCCTAGAGCCATCCAAATAAAGACGGTGGTGGCTTTCTTCATCGAAGCTGAGCTTTACTCAGGTGTTTACTTTGTGTTCAGCTGGGCCCTTAAAAACTCAAACCTTTACTGGCTAGACATAATTTAAAAGATAAATACTCAAAAATGAGGAAAAGTTTAGTTTTAAAATGCTTTGTTAGCATACTTTCTCTTCCAATGGCATCACCAGCCAGTCCTTAATTGTACGGTGAGACGAAAATTGTCAGCCAGTTCAGGGACTGGTCCCATGCAGCTGAAATCAGTAGGTGTCTTGGCTTTGCTTTTAGTGAGACTATAAGCAAGCTGATAGCTACGTGCTTTGACCCTACCAATTTCCCACATGGTGCTAAAATTTATTGTTCCTGCTTTAGGAAGGATGAGCTCCTGTCTTCTCTCAGCCCCACTGATATCTGCTGATAAGAAGAAAATGTTTAGTGCTTGAGGGGAAGAGCAGAAGAGAAAAAGGAAGCAAATGAGAAAATCCTCCTACTGTGACTAAATCACTGTATATTTATCAAGAAACCTCCCCAGCATACAACCCAGCTTCACTAATACTTTCCACTTTGTTAACATCTTCCACCCAGAAATCTGGAAAGGAGATACAAACTCAAACTAATTTTTAGCCTTACTACATTTGGTTCTGCAAGATGTGTGCAGACACCAAGGGAAAAGAGAAAATCAGAGATTTGGCAAAGATCATTCTCGGTGTCTGCAGCAGAGTGAGAAATGTTGCTCAGGACCTGCAGCTCTAATTGCTGTGTCCTTTCTATGAGGCCTTCATCTCAGATGTTCCCGTTCATAAGTCGTAATTCTGACACATGCCTATGAAAGTTAAAGCCCTCTCTTCTTGAGCTAGCAAACTGCAAAGATAAATGCAGCAAAGCTTCGGCAAGCAAGCGACAAAAAGTACAGATAAATTTACTCTTCTTCTGAAGGAGCACACAGCATAACTATTGCAGAGGAAATAGCTTCTCTCCTTCCTCTCTTTTTAAACAGTGTTCTTCATATGTACAGCATACCCTACTCACCATATTGCGTTCGTTTTGGTATGTGCTGCAATTTCCGAGCAGTCATTATGGAAGCATTTCTGTTACCATTTCAGCTGAAGGAGTGGGCTATAATTTACAAACTTTGAGGAATTATTATCCAGCTGTGTTTTAGTTCATTTTCAGAAAAGAAGGGATTATGTTTATATATAGAAGTCTTTATATAATTAATGTTAATTTGCACGTGTTAATGTAGATGATTATTAGGAAAGTATTGTAGTTTTGTTCCTGCTGATTTTGACAGATGAGTTGAATAACATTCCACTGTAATCAATGCAACATAATTTGTCCCTCATTTTTGTAAGCATTAACAACTATTTTATTGAAGGGTTTTTAATGAAGCCAAGGCGTGATGACAAACTTTTAAGTGGGCTTTATCTAACAAAGAGCTTAATGTATTTTATTTTACATGTTGCTATTATCCGGCAAAATGACATTAAACATGACTTGTTAGTAATGAGTCACTGTGAAAAATGACAGATACTTTTTTGGCCAGAAATCATTTCTCAACAAAATATACAGTAGGATGGACCCATTCTTCACAGACTCACAACTTCTAATATTTCTTTTAGTTTTTGAATTAAGAAAGTAATACCAAGGATAGAGCCCAAACACTGTCAGGCCTCAGAAATCAGCTGAAGAGGTTACAACAAATGGGAACCAACTTACAGAAGTTTTATTTAGTTGTCGTACATCTGCACCTAAAGGGTTGCTCCTCCTGGGAGGAGAACACGTGCATGTGCACAGCAGTAGCTAGCAGGGAAGAAGAGGCTGGCCATGCCTACCTTGTAAAACTCCTACAGGTTGTGATTATGGTGGACAGCTTTTGGAAATCTGTATATCTCTGAGCTTTAAGCCTCTACCAGTATTTCTTTGGAGGGGCTACATAAACTCCAAGAGCTAAGATATCAAGCACAGTCATCACTTCCAAGAAGACAGCATATCATATCACATTGGCATACATATCATATGTATAATTCAAATATATAATGCCGCCCACTCACATAGGCCAACAAACTAACCACAGAAAGCAGAGGTGTTTGCTGAAGGTCATGCTCATGTTTCCAGATGGAACAAGCCAAGGTCGCCCCAGCGATGGTGCATGTCCTGAGTGAATTGCGTGGAATTGGGTTTACTGTATAACATTGAATTCCTTAGCTGTCTTTGAGACCTTGTTTAGCCAGCAAACATAAATTAATATGTTAGGGTCCGTCCCTTTCTGGGCAGCAACAGTAAAGTTCATTTAATTCAAATTAGCCAAGAATATGCAATTGTCTTCATGACAGTAAAGGGCCGAGGCACTCTTTTGGAGAGGGTACAGTTGTCACAAGCACCTATTTTGTCTACAGGGCATTTACTGTTATTGGTGAGAGATAAGGGATCCAGGTCCTGCCTTAGAGAAGTATATCAGCTTCAAAGAAATGTGAACTGGACACATCTGCTCTGAAAACCTTCAGGGACCAGTAAACACAGGACCATGACATTCATTATTTTCAGCTAGCACCCCTCTGAAAACAAATCTTTGATCAGGCATAATGCTTTTACAGAGTTTGACAAATGCTTCTTCTGCCTCTTGTATTCTATGTAGATCATGTGTGGTGGCACAAGCCTACCTTACATTGCTACAGTAGTGCATTACAGTTAGCATTAATTAACTACAAGCCAACAAACAACATGCTTGAATAACCACCCTTTTAAAACACACTTGCTGGAAGATGACTCTCTGCTTTCGTTCACAGGAGGAAACTGAGTGTCCTTCATCTCTCTCTGTTATCAAAGAGAGGACAGCAGGTGAAACTCTAGAGGATGATTTCATCCCACCCGATGACCTGTCTTCTGATGAAGAATACTATATTGAAGAAGGCAAAGCAGCCCAGTTCAAGAAATCAGGCATGAGGCGCATAGATGATATAAAAAAGGCATTTTCAAGGGAAAATATCCAAAAGACAAGGCAAAACTTTGGCAAGAAGGTAACCAGGCTTCGAACTAGGATAGTGACCCCTGAGAGGAGAGAGAGGATCAGGCAGTCAGGAGAGAGACTGAAACAATCTGGAATAAGGTTCAAGAAAACCATCGCACAAGCTGCCCCCACGAAGGAGACGTTCAAGATCCACAAAAAAAGTAAAGAGCGAACGGTAGCCGAAGGTCAGGAGGGAAGCCAGGAAGGTGGCGTGCACATAGCCTCCGAGCTCACAGCTGCAGAGCCCTTCACTGAAGAAATCTCCTACACAGAAGTGATCACTAAGGTAAAGAAAGACAAGAACAGTGCAACAAAAGGTGCTTCCCAGCCAGCTGAAAAGGGAGTGATGATCCCCGAAGTCGTTCTTAAGCAGGAAGGAAAAGAAGGAGGCGGAGGAGGTGACGATGTCCCCTTGCTGGACTTAAAGCAATCAGCATAAAGAATCAATTACCAAACACCCCATGCCATCCTTACTGAACAAGAGAAAATGCAGACTGTATGCACTCCGTTTTTTAGGAAAATGTGTGAGTTTTTGTTCTATCATGAAACACGTATTGGTGTTGTTCTGTCATCTACACGGGTGTCTGTAGTGTCATCTTCCCGACACATAACCAAAAGAAGGGGCTCCCCCTCTGTCTTGGCATGTGCCAACAGCCAGCATTAATCCAAAAGGAACTGAGCCTCGCATGTCCACGGGAGATGGAAATCTGCTCTTCTTTCAAGATTGATTTAGCGTTCATTTAACATCCTAATTACTCTCTTCAGTTTTATGTACAACAGTATAAAATGTTGTCCTTCATCCTATAACAACTCCTCTACTCAGAAACCAATAGCAAAGCTATTGCTTTATATTAGCAGAAGGAAGAACTATGAAATATGTCCATTCAGCTGTACAAATCTTTTCGTTGAACGGCCCTCACTGAAACTGCAGAAGGAGGAAATTCCTGCTTTGTCCCAGGTGTGACAAAATGTGGCAGGAATTTAGTAAATGGTTTTAGTAAACTGCATTTCTTCTCAGTGGAAAAGAGAAGCTCACAAAATGTCTAAAGGTTATTTCCAGAGTTCTGGAGGAGGAAGGATCGATGTATTTAGGCCAGGCAATTTCTGCACTTATGGAGTAAGGTTAAAAAATCAGAAGACACATTAACTATGGAATAGCAGGAGGAAAAGAGAATGAGATATCATAATCATGGAAAGACATGATTGTGAGAAAGGCAAGGGTATAAAGTAGTAGAAGGTGTACAAGATTAATGTATAGGTTTTGGATAAGTAGTAAAAAACCCTAGAATATGGCAACAGAAGTTTGTATTTGCTTACTTGAGATCATTTGAAGAATTAATTGTTACTCTATCCAGAGGATAATAGAGTTCATGAATGTAGCTGACAGGACGAGAGAATTGTTTTGTTTTCCATTACTCTGTGGTTTCTCTGAGCTTCGCTTCAATTAAAATCTATTCTATAAAGCCGCCGAAGTAAAGGGCCAATCCATAACGCAGCTCTTTGTTTTCTATCACCGCCATTATCGACCAGCCACAGCCTCAGGGATTATGAGACAGACACCCTTCGGAGTAGGGAATGCTGTTTATTTGCAACACTCGCTGCCCTGAAATCAGATATGTTTGTAAACACGACCACTATGCTGACGTGAGGAGCGGGACTGTGGTGCTCTCTTCGTTCTTACATGGCATTGCTTTCAAGGCACTTACCTAAAGCAACATTAGGCATTACTGTCTGTGTGAAACTTGTACAATATTGCCCAAAGCTGTATTGTTGTATTTAATATCTCAGGTTCATTTTAAGAGCAGAGCATAACCTGATTATCTATACGTTGTTTGAGGACTCCCAGCTGTTAATCTATAATTTAAATATAATTAGTTTGATTTCAACTATTCTGCCTGCCAGTTCTTTCATTTAGTCTGGTGTACATCACGTTTGAAGTAAAAGGGCTTCAGCAATAATAACCAAGGAACACGGGTTGGGAAAGGTCAACATTATACTATGTCAATGACATTTCAAAGCAAATTAAGGCTGCCAGACTGGAAGGAGCGACTCCACCGAACGGAAGGGCAGGATGGGGCAAGAGATGGAGACAGGCAGAGAAAGGCATTTCTGTCAACAGTAAATTCTACACCACTGCTGCAATGTAAGCACGTGGAAAAAGAAAATGCTTTAATTCGGGGAGAGATTGAAGGTTTTGCTTGTTTTGTGTTTTTCGTTTGTTTGTTTTGTTTTGTTGTTAGTTTTATAAACTAGTTATAGAAAGTGTTTTCTGGAACCTGGTGGCTGTGTTCCTCTTCCTGTGCCGTACAAAACTGGAGCTACCTTCTGTGGAGCGCTGTGGGCTTTGCCTGGTTCCTCCCTGGCGCTGGCTGCTTTCTGTTTGGTGAGATTCAAGGTTTTCCTAAACTGACAAACAGGCACTAGTTACTGAAGTGAAAAGAGCAAAGTTCAAAGCAGCTATTTCGCTGCTTTCTGTAACTGCAGGGCGCTAACTGCTAGGACATAATTGCCTATAGATTTTCTTTATACAGCTTTTAATTTTCTCATTTTACTTGACAAAGAAAGGAAGTGAAGTAGTTTCCATGGAATTTATCATGTAGCACCACGTATATAAGCTCTATCAAATACTTATTTTTTAATGATTATTTCTAATTTCAATTTTTTCAAGGATGATTTGTTTTCATAGCAAGTAGTGAGTACTTCAGGTGTAAGAAGTAATTCAATTGTATGCTCTTCCTTTGAAGTTATTATCAGTGTTGCTGGCTTGAATTTTATACATACCAAGAGGTTAAGTATTCTCTATAACCCCTTATTCAGGTAGGAAATAGGGAGAACATTATGGATTACAACCTCAATTTCTATACCACAGCACAGCCTTTTTCCGTTTGAAGTCTCTCTTATCTTCACAACACCCAAGAGCAAAGATCTCGAAGCCCCTGTCCTTCACCTTTTTCATAAGCAAACTCCTCAGTGAAATCAGTTGATGTACAGCTATGCCACAGGGTAGCCTGGAGTATATATTTAGAACAGGTGGTTTCACTTGGTAAGATAATCTTGCCGGCACTCTGTGTGAACCAAGTCCTGCTCCCGGCTCAATGGGATAAAGGGGCCCTTGCCCTCCCTCTCGGTTCTGTTTTCCAAGAACAAATCTGGCACTTTCCGCGTAGTTGTGGGTGGGAGTGTGAATATCAAACTGCCTCACAGAAAGAGCCCTGCAGTTGCTAACAGCTGAGTGAAGCTGGTTATGGGGAAAGGTGAACTACTTTCTTAGATGGAAGCTAAAAAGAACATAAAATTGCAAGTGCTTACAAGGAGAGAAAAAGAAAAAAAAAAAGCGATTAACAAAGCACTCACTGCAAGTCCTTCTTTCATAACATCCAACAGCAATTTCTTTTGCTTTGAATTTGTGCTAGTGAAAAAAAGCCAAACACGTTTTCTGTCAATAGCTGTCTGTCTATTAAAAGAGAAGTAGCAATCACCCTTCAATTATAGGGTAGACCGTGACAGTGACAATACACAAAAACAACTACAACCATTTCAGGTGAATCTACTCCCAGAAGTGTCTTACACTTTATACTTTTTTTTTTTTTTCTTTCCTACATTGAGGCAAAATACAGAATAAAAAGCAGTTAAGAGAGTTGTGGTTGCAGGACTCGGGCAGTAAAACCAACAGAGCGAATATGAATAGAGCCAAGCTGGTGTTCAGACGCGCTTACTCTGAGAAGAATCTGAAAACTGTTTTCTCATCCAGAACTGGGTGTGTGCACATCTTCCTTCTAATGGGATACAGGTTTAAAAATGAGTTAGTATATGCAAAGGCCATTACTTGTGCAAGGATAAACTAGCTTGTTTGTACATCTTTTATGACCATTTGCATACACAAGTGACTACTCAAGGAAATTGTAACATCCATTTGTAAAACCACACTGCAAATTTACAAATGTGAAATCAAAGGACATGTATATTTACATGTATGCAGATAAACATAAAGTTTTACCACACGTTTAATTCACTTGTCATTACAACTTTAATAATGCTATAGATGATAAGTTTTTAACTACAAAGTTGAATTTTAAAAGAATCATATTATATTATGAAGAAGCCTTATACTAGGAAGAAAAGATAGCATCTACAAAAGAACCACCACAAATGTTAGAGTAGCTGTCGCTGTTATAAGCACTTTTTTCCTAGTGTTTCCAGTATAAGCAAGCCAGTTAAAATATTCTCAGCTGCTTTATAACAGCTGCTAAATTTTACAACCATACCTGTTTTCTTTCTAATATTCCCAGGTTATTAATGGTTTTTGCTGTGAACAGAGTAAACTGATTTACGTATGATTAACATAACCTCATTAACATCATTTACTGATTCCTGCACCCCCATAAGAAGGAAGACACCACTGAAAATAACAATGTAAGTCCTACTGGCTGCAGAGAAGGTGGTTCCTTTTTACACCAATTTGTCGGTCCTCATTTTGAATTGCAAAGCAGCGCCACACCCCGCAAAGTCCAGTGATCAGGATTCTGCACTGTTTTCAGGTACAAAGAGAAAATATATGTCAGATCTGTCCTCCGAGGCTTCTTGTAGACAGGACAGGAGTACACACTTCCTTGTTGCTTCTTTGGGTCATGTAGCACTGTCGTGCTAACAGCATACACGTGAACTACAGGAAGACTTGTGAACAGCACCTGAGAACATTAAATAGACACAGGGCTCAGCATTAGGGAAGCAGGATAGGACGTCCAAGCTCCAAACATGCTGGAATGAGACTCAGTGATGGCCTCCAGCAAAAACACCAGCACCTCAGCAGAAGAACACAACAGAACACAAGTTCTATGCTCACCACTACACTGACCCCAACCTATCTTTAGCCACTGGCAGCTCAGGGATGGCAGGCATCAGGAAGCCTGGAAAGAAAAGAAAGCAGGAGAAACCTGTAAAGCTGCATGCCATGGCAAAGGATGGAAAAATGGCAGTGTGGTTCTAGGAGAAAGCAAGATTGTAGCCTTTTTCCCCATCCTTTGCCTCTTCAGCTGGTGTTCTCCTTTCTTTCCTTGCTTCCTGTTCCCTGAATGTCAGGTCTGGACCTACAAAGGCCAAGCTACACTTACCAATCCTCCCTGTTACATCTGCACTTGCTGGCTGTGGAGCTTCAAAGGACCAGTGTGCCTTTTGGGTGTTTATCCAAACCAGATCCCTTCAGGTCTTAAAGCAGGGAGCAAAAAAGGTCCCAAACCAGCAGCAACACAGGGGCCTGCTGAACACTCCAGAGCACCTGAGAAAACTCCATGTTTGAAGGGTATCGTGTCACAAACCAGGAAACAGTTCTTACCAGAAGCTACCAGGGGCACAGTCTGGCTTTGAAAAGTTTGCCCTCAGCCAGATACAGATGTGTTTTGCCTGCAGAGGAATGACCTCAATGCCAGTTCCAGGACAGATGTCACTGGTTTGGCAAAAATTTACCACACACACAATGGCAGTTTTCCCTATGCAGTGACCAAAGCACATAATCGCTGCTCCTTGGCTAGGTTTTAAATCCGCTCAGTCACCTCAGCACAACGTAACCCCATACATGGATAACTGAGCATTAGCCCAGAACTAACAATCTTCCTCGTACTCAAAAATGTGAGGGACTTCTACTCATCCCAACACTGACCTCCACAGCAGCTGCCATAATCCCAGGCCCAGGCCTTGGAAGCTGTTTTGGGGTCCACTCCCTCAGTCAAAAGAAGACTGACTACAGGTTGCACTGGTTTATTCAGACATAGCAGTGCCTCTGGGGCCCCTGAAGCCAAGGGGCCCAGCATCTGGTCTGCTCAAATACAGCACATCCTAAGCTCATCTTCTGACATAAGCTTTTTCATCTGGTCTGGTGGATACATGCCCTTGTCCTCTTCCCAGTCCTGTGATTATTTTATCCTTCTTAAAACATGCTGTGAAACCAGTGCTGCAGGCACTCCAAATACTTTCTGGTGTTCTCCGAGCACACCATGTTACACCCCAGTCAGTGATGCTCAATCAGTCCTTACCTTTGGTGCAGACTCAACCAGTTTACTGTTTCTGCGGTCCCAACCTGCACCTTCAAGGAAAAGGCCGTATATATAAACCCCACCGATGTCAGCAGGAGGCGGGCCAGCAACATCTTCTTTCATCATCTTGGTCACTTCATTGTGTAAAACAACACTGTCGAGTTCCCATCCTTTTGCTAAATTCATGCGAGTTGTCTCTTGCCTCATAGCAGTTAGGAATCCCTGAGGAGATTGAATATGACACAGAGGCTTTGAAAAAGCTTGAACATACCCATTTCCAACTTTTTTTTCCCCAACATAACAGTGACACCAGCAGCATAAAACCTCTTCCCACTGAATCTCATCTACATACAAAACTAAATTCAGTAGTGTAAATCCAGTGCTTTCTCACACTGTTGCAGTACCTACCAGGCATTTGTATATACTTGCTATGCATGTGTTGGTGTGATGAAACCACCAAAGTGGCTTATTTAACATTGGAAGCTGCAAGTATAACTCACACTTCGCTTCACCCACCTACTTTACAACAAGGCAGATGGAGAGAGGTTTACACAGCTGGCAGATAAGTGTGGTTTGTGAGTTTCTAAATACAGGTAATTGCTAAACCACAAACAATGCTGGTATTTCATGTGCTATATTACTCACCTTTTCTTATACCAACATTGTAAAAATGCTTTCCAGTCAACAAATCCCAAAGCATTTTACAGTAGACAAAGGAAGTACAAACTGGAATCATGTAATTAACTGCTGAAATGCCTCTGTCACTAGGACGAAACATAGCTGCTGCTCAGTGCAAAGCTGTGATATAGGAAAATAGCATACTATTGGAGACACCAGCAAAATAACCTCACAACGTT